GGGTTTAGGGTTGGTGATGCGGGAGACATCGACTCAAGAAGGAAGTCTGGACATCAGGACGGATCTCTACAGGGGCTCGGTGGGGCTTCACAGTGTTTGTTCGAAAGATCTGAGACTCGGGTGCCTCGGGTTGACCTGTACCAAAGGTTGGCACGGCCAGGATACTGCAATACAGCAAAGGCCGACACCGGCCGAAATCCAACAACTCACGCAACAGCAGCTCCCCCGCTCGATCGCTCTTTTGTTCTCCCTCTCTCTCTCTCTCTCGTTCCTTCCCCCCCTCCCTCCCAGGCATTCGGAATGTCAAGCCTGACTGAAGGCGACACTCGTGAACCCAAAATCCTGAACCCAAAACCCCGAAACCATCCTAAACCCTGCATCTCGACACAAAAGCAGGGCCCATCCACCCGGAAGTTTCAACTCCTCGGGCTTTAACAAGGGGCCTGGATCCCTCTTAATTGCGTTCGTGTTGTTCAGCATCATCATGAACTTCGGCCCAACCTAAGGTTTAGGGTTCAGAGCTTAGGGTTAAAGCACGGTTGGGTTTCGGTGCTCGCACTCGGACAAGCCAGGCGAGGTCAGGGGTGCTGAGTCGGTTGAGGTGACACCGAGGGTCGAGTTTGGTTGCAGTGCTCACACGCTACAAGTATTCTAGTTGCCACCACGCCCAGACCTGCAGGGCGTTGGGTTTAGGGGGGCTTAGGGTTTAGGGCTGAGGGTTTGGATAGGGTTGAAGTCTTTTTGCTCGCTCTTTATGCTTTGCCCTGAGCTTCAATGGGCCTCAACAATGAGACTTGACCTGGGTCCTGGGACACTTTGCACCCTGGCCCTCCATTACCGTATGGAAGGTTCGACAACTGCAGGATTGAAGTCCGGATTCATGCTCATGATAATGGAAGCTTCACTGACAAACCATGGACATACCAACAGTAGCAAAAGCAAGCAGACTCTTGTTAATCACACATGAACCAACGCCAGCAGCTTAAAGCCTCAACCCTCAAGCCCCAAAACCCGAAGCCGAGACCCACAAAGCAAAAAACACCCATTCGCTTCAAGCTGCTTCACGGAGGAGCTTGTGGGCAGATGATGCGACAGGAAGGAGCCTGGTTTAGCGAACTCTCTGAAAATCCAGGCTTGGGAAACGGTCTTAGGGTTGAGGGCTTGGGGTTTGGTAAAGCGGTGCGGCCTATGTATGTGCACGAAACTAGCCCCCGCCTAAGCCTTACTCTTGCCATACTTCTTTCTCTTGATCCCCGATCTGGGGGTTTCTGAAAAGAGGGGGCCCTTATACAGCACCCTAAATAGTAGGATCCTTAGGAAACGCCAGAAGGAGGTACCCTTTTTTTTCGGAAACTCCCATCTGTTTCTTGAACATCAACACCCCTAAACCCTAAACCCTAAACCCCAAACTCAACACCGAAACGAAGCCCTGAAGCTCGAAAACGCGAAGCCCGCCTCCGAAGCGGAAGCCCAGGTCCTGCACCCCGAAGTCTGCCACCTTTGACCCTTTTGCAACTGGAAGGGACACCTTTGACCCTAAACCCTAAACCCTAAACCCTAAACCGATGCTATATTATGTTTCATTATGATATACATGTAATATAAAATAAACAATAAAGGCTAAGTTGTCTCATGTTATATTTATGTTGCCCTATGTTATAACAAGTGTTAAATTGAATTATGTTGTATGATAACATGTTCTTATATCTAACCCCTCTGGCCCCCCCCCCCCCTTTCCATTTATCCTTAACCCCCATCGCCGGACCCTTCCTTACAACGCCTACACAAAAACCCTGCAAAATCGCACGAACACCTGCAAAAACCGTCAATACCCTGAACATAACGACACAAAACCCGGAATTAACAAATAAAACGATAACTATGCACCTGGACTTGCTGAATGCTAGCAGCCCACTCAATAAAAAAAACAAACCTGAATCCATAAACGCTAAACCCAGGGGCCCCTCGTTGTCATCCTCTTTGGAGCCCTGCTCTGCCGTATTCAACTCGATGACCAGCTTGTTGGTAATGGTCTGCGGCAGACTTCGGGTTTAACCCTAAACCCTAAACCCTAAACCCCTAAACCCCTAAACCCCTAAACCCCTAAACCCCTAAACTCTAAACCCTAAAACCTAAAACCTAAACCCATCTAGGAACCTGAGTAAGGAACCTTGAGTCGTTACTAGGGTTCTTCGCATGGGTCCTACTGCTCCAGGGTTATGGAAACAGGGTCTCTTAATCAGGTTCCTACTTTAGGTTTTCGGCCCTCACTCTCGGACATGCAAGGCGGTTCTTGGTGGTTTCAGAGGAGCACACTAGGGACAAATGCAGCGATAACGAGCCAGTTTGAGGGTAGGCTGCTTAGCGGGATGCCGGTGTACCACTAGAGTCCCTTCTTGAGGCCTACACCGTGACTTTTCTGATCGGTTAAAGAATCACATCACAGGGGGGCGGGCGGGGCAGAAGGGGCAACCATGTACGCTGTGTCATAATCCGGTTCGAAGCGGGCAAGAAGGAGAGTTCTATCCGGGCACGAGGTGGAGTACCGGCCATAGAAATCTGCGAGAAATGTAGAGCAAGGCTGCCTAGGTAGAGGGAGTCATCTTGTCGGTGAAACTTGCCAGCGAGGTTGAAGTATGAAAGGTACTTTATCCAGCTAGTGATGAGCAAGTCTCAAGATAAAGTACAGCACGCAACCAAGAGACTAGGTTTAGGGTTTTGGGGTTGAAGGTTTAGGGCTTAGGGTGCTTAGGGTGTATAGGGGGCCAGAGGAGGGTTCTATACTTGAAGGCCTCCATGAGGGCTCCATAAGGTCGATAATTAAGGTTTTGGGGTTTTCGGGTGGGGTTTGGGAGTTGCTGTGTTTTCCAAGCACTCCAGGGCTTGGGGTCGGTGGTCTCTTGTGATTGTGGGCGGTCGGAGGCTTTTGTCGGAGGGTTTGTAGGGTTTTTTCCCTGTCGCATGGCAGAGAACAAAGCTCACAGGCGAGGTTCAATGGTCGGGTTTAGGAGTTTAAGGTTTAGAGATTGTTCAAAAACGATTTGTGGACGTCTTGAGACATGTTGGCATTTCAGATCTCGAGATCTCTTGCTGAAGCACTCCAGCGACATAGGTATTCAGAGGGCTCGATGTCAATCTGTGTGAAAGCTTTACGAGGAATCTGTGGACCTATGTGGACGAATAAGGGGCTTCGGAGGTAGGGTTAATATAGGGGCCTTAATAATACGGTTCTGGTGTATATTATACTATGACTATACTTATAACAAGGAACCCCCAAACTATTATTAATAATTATTAAGGCCCCTATATTAAGGATTTGAGGGAGCTTTTTCATGTAGGATTATTGACTGGCCCCAAAAGATCCGACTCATTTCGGATTCCAAGCACCCAAACCTTAGCATACACTCAAACATTAGCATACACTCCGAAGGCTATAGCAGGTTTCAACATACCCTAAACCCTATGCCCTAGACTCTACACCAAAATGCCTGCAGCTGCTGCACCATCTCCAGGAGCGGAACCCGAACATCGCGGTTGAAGTCCTAAGAGCTGCATTCGCCAGGTACAGGCGACGGGATGGAGGCGGCAGAGGTAGCATTTAGTATTTAGGGTTTAGGGTTTAGGGTTTAGGGTTTAGTAACATACCCCTTCATTGCCCCTTCATTAAATTACTTAGGGTACACTCCTTTATTGCGATTCCACCCCCGTCCCCCACGGCTGCACCCAGGGCTCCACGACGCAGCGACCGACTTGGAGAGCATTCAGCGCGCAGCGCTCGTCGTCGGCTCCCTGGCAGTCCTCAGAAAGTGGGCTTTAGGCTTTATGGGGGGTTCTAGGGCTTTTCGAAGGGGGCTCCATTGGGTGCCGAAGGGGGCTTTTAAGGCCTCTGAAACATCTTAACAGGTTGAAGGGTCTGGCTGTCAAGCTTTTCTTAGCTCCCGCATCGCAAGCCACGGCAAGCAGGGCAGTCGGATTGTAAGGCTTTAGGGTTCAGGGGCGTATGGTTTCTACGGTTTGCAAGAATCATTGGCGGCAGCGTGTGGTAGCAAGGGAACTACAATTCACAGGGCCTCCTAAGACCCCTTGGAAACACGGAAAAGGTGCTGCCGCTGGCCCTAAAGGAACGGAAATCTCACGCTTGGTTGGGGCTTCAGGTCTGGTGCACTCCATCTCGGAGTAGCCAGGCGAGGTTCGTAGAGCTAAGGTCAGGGGAGTATGTCATCTAGTGCCTTAACCAGATACACAAGACGATCTGCATGCCGCACGTTCCTCTGAAAACTCTTCTGGGCAAGGGGCCTCCTTGTATAAGGGCCTTGAATGTAAGTATGGCTAGCTAGTATGGCCATATGTCCGGATTCTTAATTAATAAGGAAAGGGCTCTCTAGATCAGAGTCTACCATGAACCCTGCTGGCCACTACCCCTAAAGCCTAAACCCTAAACCCAAAACCCTAAACCCTAAACCCTAACCCACGAACCCCAGTCGGACGCCGGGAGGCGTCATCTGCGAAGAAGGCGGCAGCCATCTCCTGCCAACTCTCGCCTGTGCGGAGGATAAGTTGCGTAGGGTTTAGGGTTTAGGGTTTAGGGAAGTAGGTTCTACATATACGGTGATTATGTAAGGGAACAGTCAAGGGCTTGGGATTGCAGGTTCGGAATTTTGATCCAAGTTTTTTTCGAGTAAGAAAAGAGCTTGAACCACATAAAGGATTTGTTGTCAGTTGCACCCACGCCAGCAAAACTAGTCAACTCTCCGCATCTTGCTGACATGGTCCTTCTCGATAGAGTTTATATTTAGACATATATACATGCCGAAAATTAAATACAGGGGCGAACATGACATAGACAAACAGCCGAAACAATCGGCACAGGCCTTGGATCCTGTCGAAAATTTCATGGCTATATCGGAGAGTGGATTTCGCAGGCAACACGCTAAAGCATACCACCTTCGATATCGATGCCGTGCCTCGAGCGCATGTCGCCACAGACAGTACCAAAACCACGGCCCAGCGAGACATCATGTAGAACGCTTCTTCCTGGGCTTGCGCCAAAACCCGCTTAGGATTTATAGGGCTTAGGGTTCCGGGCTCAAGTCTAGCCAGACCACCACCTGGCTTGCCCCGAAACCCCAAGGCTGTTTGCATCTGGTCTCACTGATAGCTCTCCGGACAGGTTTTAACCGCAAACCGCTGAGCCTTAGGCCATTCAACCTCAAACCTTAAACGCCTTAAACCATGCACCCCTATGCTTGCCCCAAACCCCCAAGCCCAGAAACAACAACTGGGCTTAAACTGCTGGGTGGGTACATCTGGGAGGCAGGAAGGTCCTATAATTATGATTACTACTACTGTTGCTATTGTAGCTACTATCCTTATACTGTCACTATTGGCCGGCCATCGCCACTAGAAAGCAGCGGATGCGAGTTGCCCTCTGGCACCACGAACTCGTGGTACCTTCAACAAAGGAGCAGGATCGCTCCCGGGCCTTAAGAGGGGACCAAGGATTCTACTGGATTTCGGGTTCAGGGGTGATCCTCGCGATTTTTGCAAGCCCCAAACCATGTCGTCCCAAACCCCCACATCCTAAAGCCTCACCGACACTTCTCGATTAAGGGTTTAGGGTTTAGGGTAAGTAGCCTTCCACTAAAGGCATAAAGATGCTGTAAGTACCCCTTCCTGCGGATGTCCGACCTATCACAAACTTCCTTCTCCCTTCTGTCTTTACTGGCCTTCCAGGAACCCCGACTCGTCTAAGGCCCGGCATCGACAATAATATTAGTAGCAGCCATAATAGCAATGATCATCAAAAGAAGAATATGAAGACTAGCAATAGTAATAACAACCAGACGAAGAAGAACAAGGAAAAAATAACAATAACAACAAATACAAGCAACAATAACAACAATGACAACAAGAATAAGAATAACCATAAATAACCATGAAAGCCATAACAATAACAGAGTTACAGCAATAATTATAGTAATGATAAAAAAAACCCCGTCCAAAGGATGGCTTTATTAACGTCCGGCGTCAGCCCCGAAAGGAAAGAGAATGGGCGGGACGTTGAGAGCCGAAGCTGCGGCGGGTCGCGCGAGATCTCTCCGAGGCCGGAAGTGGAGCACTGGGGCTTTAGGGTGTTAGGGTTTCTGATTAGGATTTCGGCTCTCACCCTCGCTCACAGCAGGCAAGGCTGCCTGACTAAATGTAGGGTTTAGGGTTTCAGTGTTTACACCCTCACAGCTCGGACAATCCTTGTCAGGCGAGGTCTATCGCCCCCAGTCGGCGTGAAACTATGTCAAGCCTCTCTCCAAATGCACTATGCAAAGAGCCCACACCCTAGATCAAGGGGAATAAGGTATTGCAACCACGGCTGGGATTGAGGGTTTAGGGCTTTAGGGCTTTAGGGTTTTAGGGTTTTAGGGTTTAGGATTTAAGGTTTGGTTTAGTTTAAGGTTTAGGGCTTTAAGGTTTAGGGCTAGAGGTTGAAGCCTGAACTTCAAGGGCTCATGACTTTAAGGTTGCGGGCTTTGGGTGTCAGGGTCTCGGGTTTTAGGGAGTAGGGTTTCGGGTTCACGCTCTCGCAACTCGGACTCTGCCAGACAAAGTCTCTGTGTCCATCTACGCCACAGGAAATAGGTTTCGGGTTTACGCTCTCGCAACTCGGACTCCGCCAGACGAATTCTCTTGTGTCCAACTAGATCAAGCAACTAGACTGTGGCTCTGGATGTTTGGCCATGCACGTGTCAAAACTACCCAACACGTACACCGCACGAAGCCTGTCTGCTCAAGTCCGCTTCCCTCAGGCTCTAACCAGCAAAATGTTCGTATCTCCAAGGAGCTTTGTCGCCGCGGAGCCCCTTGGGCGCAGAGTTTGTGGCTGCCTTGGTCGTCTCAACGGTGGCGTGGCCTGTTCCAAGAAGCTGCCGAGAAGGGCCCAATGTCTGAGGCCAACTTCCTAGGAAAACAGCCTTCACGATCCCGTTTGCAGGCAAAGTTCAGCAGTAGTTGTGGGGAGGTCCACGTTGGACTGCACCCGAACTCCGTGCGCCAAGCTTTTCTTCGGACTTCCCATTGGTTCATGGTGTCCGACTAAAGGCCTCCCCAAAGGTAGCTGTACTCTTTGCAAAAACCAATTCCAGAAGGACTGTGTTTCCCAGTCACGCTTCCCAAACCCAGCAGCTTTGGCTTCCACCCAGTGAGTGGTGCAGAGCAAGGGTCATGGGTGTTGTTTACCATGGCATCGGCGCGGCGGGTTCGTGGTTTCGGTTTGTGGATGGGGACCGAAGACGAGTAAATAAAACGCGCCAAGGCGTACTTCTTGCTCCCGGAAATACAAGGACGACTACACTCCGTCACCACGCTAGAGTAGAAAAGTTTCGTCAAGAACGGTCTACCAACTGGCCTCAGTCGTATAAAAGCGGCGCATCAACCTGGATCCCGGCATGCCCTGTCAACGGATGACAACTCGTCGACTACCAAGCTCGCATGATCGAGACATCCGCCGCTTGAATGAACAGCTGCCCAGGATTCAGGCCGCAAGGGAAGACGGGGCCGTGACGAATGGACAGACCGCAAGCCTATAACTCCTCCGTCTGGGTTAAGGGTGGAAGATGGAGTGACGGAGACTCTTCCCTTGAATAGGGTCTTGCCATCAGGTCTCATGTCTCAGGAGGCTTCGCCCTCCCCCGTTCTTGGGAACCCCATCAGTCAGCCCAGCTGCGGCGCCGCGGCATGGCCAAGGACTCATGCGCGGGCCCCAGGCCCAGGAGGGGCCGATGCCCTGGTCCAGAACTTGTTTAATGGTTCGTCGAGCCGACGTGGCCTTGTCCGGTTCCAGGAGTATGCCAAGCCCTTGCTTGCTGCCATCAGTGAGCATGTGTGCACCCTTGGCATGCTCGGGCACATTTGCGACTGCGCTGCTTTACTGTTCCAGGCAGAGCCATCCTGTCTCCTGCACCACCTGTCCAGAGACCACGAGGCCTCCTGTCACCTCGGCAACCTTCAACGCGTCGAGCCCAGGGCTCTCATGCACGAAGCAGGCTCTCATCACCTTGAAGTGGTCAAAGTGGCAGGCTGAATCGCGGCCAGATTCGCCACTCAAGGTGGCGACCTTCGCGACTTCATCCTTCACAACATGGAGCTCGCAAGCCAACAGCTGGACTGTGAAATGACAAGTTGTGCCTGCTTGGCTGGCTCGGGCTCCGATAGTACAGGCACCTTTGGGATCAGTGTGACGAAACCCCCTCCGACAATGCTTGAGTTTCACACTGAGAAAATTTCCGCCCAGCGGCTTCACCTTGTGTACTTTCGCATAGGGGGCTTGATGATATCAAAAACCTCAAGAACCAAGCTGCCTGGCACCGAGTTCCCCGGCACCCTGCGCACGCAAGAGAATTAACACCTATCCCGAAGGGACTAGAGTTCAGCATGGCCGATGTTCCACACTACCGTGGAGAGACAGAGGTGACTCTCAGGCGTCAGCCGGCACCTGGTCACCTCGCTGTTCTGATGGCTCTATGCTGTCGTCCCGCAAAGCGGGAACCAGCCTAGCAATTGCGGCTGCTCTCTCCGCACCTCCTCTGCGTCGAAGGAAAAGAGCTCTGTTCTTGTGCAAAGAAATTCGCTCTTTAATCACTCTCACTGCCTCAGCGTGTCTGCTCAAGCCAGATGCATTTGAACTCAAGGATCCAAAGCACCGGCTTTCCAAAAACTCAGAGACGAGGGTCTTCTCTTGAGCTGTCACAAGGCGGTGACGCAACACGTACTCAGCAGCTACCATCAATGCAGGCTTTCTTTTTGGCGAGCACTTGTGTCAGATTGGCTCCGACAAACCGGCTGCTGCAAGAGAGCACGCCTTTGCATCAGCAAAGAGGGCCGCAGACATCCAGACATACATGCGATAGAGGGCCGACCATGTCTTTAGGTCCGACTGAGCATCACTGAGTTTGCCTTGATCCAACGCCTGCACCATCCTAGAACCGGGGGTGCTCTTCTCTGCTGTACTGCCCGAACTCAATCGGAGAAAATGCTCACAGGCTGTATCTGAAGAGACGCTTGACAGCTCTAGGTTGCCCCCCTCTACTGATGCAATGAGGAATGCTTGCCCGTAGGCAGCTTCTCGTCCGGCTGCAGCTGCAGAAGCGAAAGCTTTCGCCGCTGGAAGCTTTAAAAGGTCCTCGAGGCTAATCACGCTGAAGGGAACTGCGATCTCATCGTCAGTCGCTGGTGACATGTAGGCAGTGATGAACGACTTCCGAGCCTTTACAATCGGATTGTCCGTGCCGACTGGGGCACTCCATTTCATTGGAACGAGCCCGTAGAGCTTGCCGTCTCCTGACCTTTTCGAAGCGAATCGCCGACACCAAGGTGATAAAGGCGCCTAGTTTTGTCTCATCAAGTCTCAAAGAGCCGATCAAGTCCAGTCCTACTGCCGCGTTAGCCAATTCTTCAGATCCGATATTGGCCGAAAGAGTAGCGCCAGCATATTGGCGAGAAGTCTGGGCAATAGTCGCTCCGGTTCCGGCCAT